AAAATCGGGTCAAATCTAGCTTCTTAACCAACACTATTTGTATAGTTTCTCTTTTCCATATTAGAGAATGTTGTATCTTAGAAAGATATGTCGAATCAATGTAACCAGAACTGAACATCACAGAAATTGAAACCAATCAATTATTACCTACTTTTTATTCACTAAAAAACATTCAAATTATTAGTTTCTAATCTCTTTAAACATGGGCTTTTAAGTAGTAATAACTATTCAAAGAATTAAAATAGTTGAAAGATTTAAGCCAGTATATCTAAAATAAAGAAACATTTCGTATAAATTATAATATTTATATAAAATTGTTATTTGGAAACAGTATACATAATTTAAAATGATAATAATAAATAAAATGATTATATTTAAAATTTTATTCTAAATCAATATAAGTTAGTATAAATTAAATTTTTGAATGGATTCTCAGCGAATTCATCATTAATTTTAACATTTCTCCAGTTTTTTTAAAGAATTTTTATAATATAAATTGGCATACTAATCCCCCCCCCCCCCTTATAATAAAATTTAATGAAATTCCATTATGCAAAGACATTCTAGCAGTGACATAGACAGGAGGGAGGGGGAGGTTTAAACAATCAAACTATGTTAATAAATGAATTTTTTTGCTGAAATTAATAGCACATACAATAAAATCATAAGAATATCTGTTATAGAGATAAAATATTTTTATCAAACATTTTTATCACAATTATCTATATAATCGAATTTCACTCTCTAAACTTTAATATTTTTCAAATAAAGCCTAGTGTTCTAACGTACTCCCTGTTCAGCCCCGGTGATTATTTTTTTCAACAAGCCCCAACTTTATAGTTAGTCTAATCATCTCTGAGACTTCCTAAACCATTGAATTTCCTGTAGCAAACTGGCATTAATTTTCAGAAATAAATTAGAACCGCATTTAATAGTGAATGATAATGATAGCTCGAAAGTTATTTAAATCAAATGTTATTAAAAAACTTGCGTTACAATTTTCTGTTTGCAATCTGCAATATAATTATTTTGATTTGTTTATTATTTCAAAAATTATCTGGGCGTTGGCTTCTCTTCTAGACCCAATTCGAAAATTAAAAATTGTGTCAAAATATATAATTGAGCAAAATTGCAAATCGTCAGAATTTATTATTAAATATCTTAAAAACCCTGATTATGATGATATTAGATTAGTAAATATAGAGATTGAAACAAAAGGAAATATCGAAAACAAATTATTTGAGAAGATTATCAAATATACAACAGACACTAACTATGATTCTATTTTAAGTGACCTAGAACAAGAATGCCATATTCTTTTCGGAAACGTAATTCACAGGATATAAATGTTCTAAATTTTGGGATAGAAATGATCAACCTTTATAACCTTTCTACGTTAGTCTAAAAAATTTTGTTCTGACAAATAGCGCATCTAGTGAAAGAGTTTTCTCTGGTGATCATCCTTATGTCGATCAAATTTAAATAAAATAATTATTATACATGATATTGATAACTTTAAAATTACAAAATTGATTGATTTTTTAATTAGTTTTCTTCAAAGATTTTTTAATTAGTTTTCTTCAAAGATCTATACAGATTATTATAAAAATTTGTGTCCCGCTCTACAATTAGATTCTTAAACTCAAGCCGGCCGCCAAAAGTTTAATCGACGCACAGGTCTACTCATAACTTCCTCAATCTTTAATATCTTTACTTAGAAGATATAATATATTAAATTAATCTTTTTTTGCAAATTTAAGTTAGAACTACATATTTTTCCTAATTTTAGGTATCATTCTCTGCTTTATATATTATAGAATATAATTACCTTTTTTTGCTCATTTTAAAAAATTAAAAAGGTGAGTACCCTGAATTTGAAAAAGCAAGCGAGTCCACCGCTCTAATATATAAAAATCTTAAAATTATTCATAATAAAAATAAATTCAAATTTAGAGTTAATACTGAAAATGAATCTGCATGACCTTTTATGCAAATTTTACATTTCTCATGTTAAAATTTATAAATTAAAGGGGTATAAAATTAAATTAAAAAAGTATAAAAACTATCATCCATTTTTTAAATGTTTGGTTTATCTTTGACATTTTTTAAGATTTATATTTCCTAATATAAAAACAATTTTGTTTCTATTTTCATAGATTGTATATATTCAAAAATATTATTTTTATGATAGTTAAATGAATAGCGTTTTGTAATAATGTATATAAATGATAATTTCTGACAAATAAGTGCGATAAAAAGAATATTATAAAATATTAATAAAATGAATTATATAACGACATTCGACATTATCTTATATAGTATTATAAATATTATATATATATACCTATTCTTTTAATTTATTTACTTAAAATATTCTTAAAACTTATATAGATTTTAAAAGATTCAATCCGGAAGTTTTAGTAACATTTAATGACAAAAAAAATGTAAAATATATTTTAAATAAAAATAAAAATAAAAAGGTAGAATGAAATACTAACATATAATTGACAAAAAAAAGATAAAATACAAATATTTAAACTAATAAAAATAATATATTATAATGTAACTTATTCATTTGCCTTTTTATGATTTAGCTATGCATAGTATTTTAATGTCATTCAAAATGATTTTATTTACCATTTTTTTTTTACTAAACTAAATATTGTGACATTTAAAAATATTTTATAAAATTAAGTTTTATATTTAAAAATATATATTATATAACCATATTATAATTATAATTAAAATTTAAAAAATAGGTAAGATTACTCTTATTATTTAACAATGCTTTTTTATTATTTAAAAACACTTTTATATAATTGACTTTAAAAATCGGAAATCAGAAACGTTGTTTTTTTAGCGAAAAAAGAGGAATGCCGCTAATTTATTTGTCTTAACGAAAAAATTTATTTGTTAAACTTTGAGACTATAATTAATATTACGACAAAAGATTATTGTGTAAAGACAAAACCGGAAAATGTACTTATGCAAACAATGTTTATTATAAAATTATGTTATTATGAGCAATATATATTTAAATATAATATTGATGTAAAAGTCAACAACTTGTATAATAAAAAGTAAAAAGAATTGGCTATACAATTAACCGTGTTTTTGTCTGGTATATTAATAGGTATGAATCCTTTTTATTTACTAATTACTCCTATGTAGAAATTTACAAGAATTTTTTGCAAATAAATATTCTATTTAGTAAACGTCAATTAAAAATAAATCTCATTCTTTGGGGGCAATTTTATTAAAATAAATGTAATATCTTAAGAAGTGTTGTTAAACGGTTCGATTGGCTGATTTTTAAAAACAGCTAACTCAATATTTCAACCAGAAAAAAATGATCTAAACCTCGAGATTTTGCAAATAGATCTTTTGTGTCATCTATCAGTAAAATCTTCCGCCTTGCGTAATATTTTTCTGGATAAAATATAAGTTAGTAATCGAGCATTTTTATAACACTAATCTTAAGATTAAATATGAAACACTAAACCATATCTAAATCTAGTTATATAAATATACTATTAAATTAGTAACATAACAACATGGACCCCATTCTTTCACAAGAAAATTTTTCGCTGTGATTTTAAAATAAGCTATGCATTTAAAATGATTCCAGAAACAATTTATCTGCAAAAAAAAATCCTCATTTTTAAAATTTTTATAATATTTTTAAAAAATAATAATTTTTTCAATAGAAATTTCAGCATGATTCATTGTCCTTATTTATTGATTATATTAATTTCCTTTTATTTTATAAGGATAATTTTTGTGTGTGTCAAACGATTTTGGTTAAAGTATTAGAAGTTCAATGATAAAAATGAAATATAAGTTTTAATTATCAAAACAATATAAAACTCATTGAAAAACATTGTTATATTATAAATAGTAAAAGTGGCAATCCGGAGCGAAATATAATTTCTAATTTATGTTCATCTTTTGAAAAAATGTTTCTGGTTTTAATTTTTGCTGCAATAAATAAACTTTAACCATAAATTATAAAAATTTACCAATTAGTAATTTTTAATTGTAGCAAGATATATTTATATTAATGATTTTAAATTTTATATACAGGTTCCTTAAAGTAGCTATAAAATGTAAGTTATTAATGTTATTTTGTTTCTAACTCAACTAGAATAAAACAATACGATTTATATAATAGATATCAACTTTTAAACGGCTATGGGTAAAATGGTTAAAATATTTCGTGTAATAAACGTTGTAAAAAGAAAGGAATTGTTAAAATATTAACTTCTACTCTATACAAAAGAAATTAATGAGCCAAAAGGAACATTTAAAATAATTTCATGTTGTTAAGCGCAATAAAAAATTTAAAAATAGCCCAATAATTGTACCCAAAATAGGCCTATTTCAAATGTGCAAATTTTGATAATATCTTTACATGTCTTTGTTGTATTGATTAGCTTGTATAAATAATTAATAAATTTCAAAATTTTAGTATTTTATTCAATAAAATAAATAATTATGTCCAATTTTATTTTAACCACTTTTCCCTGATGCTTAGAGGCAAAAATACCATATTTCACATAAAAAATCAGTTTCTAAAGTATTGAAGGCAGAGATCCATACTTTTATTTTGCTGTTGGTAAGTGATTGTTCTATACATTGATTTTTGATTTGTTCTGTGCTTTTGTTTTTAATATTTTTGGCAAAAATTAAAATATTACCCCGGTCTCCCTATTAATAATAATTTTAAGTCAATAATGATTTAAGACAATTTTAAGAAATATTGTTTAATTTGAAGCAGGATAATGTCATTTTCATTTATTTTATTGGAAGGGATATTTTTTATTTTATAACGTTGGCATTGGCAAATCAAATGATAGCTTACTGCCTCCTATTCCTATTTTATTTACCTATTTCTAGAACAACACAATAATAATGGGTTTTGCAACAATAAAAATAAAATAGGAAGTATATTAATATATATTTAAAATTTTTCAATAACAAAATAATTTAAAATATAAATAAATCATTTTTCCTCTTGACATTAAAATAAATAAAAAATATAATGTTATTAAAAACATTCGGATGATCGATCATATGAAGGAATGATAATGGTTATCGAACTGTAAAGGCTTCCAAATGGGTGATTGCGAACGTGTTATAGCATTTGGCAAATTGTTAACGGAGGAAATGGTTAAATTATTCATCATAGCAATAGATGGGTCAATTTTGGCATTGCTAAAGTTATTGCAGGAATAAGATTTTGATATGTCCACCATGGTCGATGTCACAGTGATAGATGTTTCCGTGTTCGGTAATATCGATAAAACTGATATGGAAGAATACGATAGGGACGCGCCACGACTCGCCGATTTGTTTATAGTAGAAGAATAATCAAGGGATTTTATCGTGCGGTCATGGTTGGTGAAAGAAGAAGTTGAATTGCGATTTAAAAAATTGTACGTGACGGAACTTCCTTCTTGCATAGAAACGTTGTTGAGATCATTAGGTTTCGGGGTCTGAAAGGAAATTCCCCTTTCTATAGGGTGAGGAGTGGTGAATTTCTGTAGATCGTTATTAAATTTATCATAATATAATTTTAATTTGAGGATATCATCGCAACTTTTAGAGCCCGATAAATTGTGAGACTTTATTTGGCGAATAGTATCTAAAAATCTCTGTCTCAGTTGTTTTGATCTATTAATGTTAAAAGGATTAATATTAAAAAAACTAAATAATTTTAATCTATGATATTTACCTAGTGGATAATCGAAGATTTTTATCAAACCCATGTGCATCTTTAATAACATTTTCTCCCTCGCTATAATGTAAATCCCAAAAATATAGAGCTTCATATTCACTGGCCAAAGTTGCCAATTTTAATATACGGTTTGATGGGATCAAAATTTTATGAGTTATGCATTCTTCGGGTAAAGATATTTTCTTATAAATATTTGCCTACACAAATTGAATAAAATAATAGGGATATACTTTTTATAATATTGTAAAATTAATATAATTTACATTTTGCTGCTTTATTTCCCTAAATTTTATCGGATCGATGGATAACAAAATAATAGCGGTTTTGAATATAAATAGTATGCAAGGTAATACCGAATACGATTTTTTGCTGGATCCTAACTCACCGGGTATATTAAACCAATCCACGTGATCACACAATAAGAGATCTCCTATTGAGAGATTAATAGATGATTTGGAATCCCTGAGATTGTATTTCAATTTATTGTCCTTGTCATCGCTGTCATTTCCGGAAATGTTTGTTTTTGGCTTAGATCTGATGATAACATAATCCTGAACTAATTTATTAAATATGTTTCCAAATTCATTCTGAATCCTTTGCATACCGTTGATATGTTCCATGATCAATTCGATTGTCTTGATAGAACAATTCAATTTTTTCTGATCTACACTATTTTCTTTGGAGTGGGTCAATAGTTGTTTAATGATTATAGGGTATTCTGGCATCCTATTTAGAACGCTCGATAAGAAATATTCGAAATACACATGCTGATTGTAAGTTTTCATTCTATTGATGTCCTCATCTTTCGTCACAATTCCTGCAGCTTCATTCGATTTTAATATTTTTTGAGCTTTGTAATAACAAGAATATAGGGTACTATAGAGTTTGAAATAAGGTGAACACCGGATTAATGTTTCTGCAACAGCTGATAACATAGCCTATAAAATAATTATATAAAAATTATATTGTTACCAATCAATAATTATGATATAACATCCTAGGTCCAAAACTGATTATTTTAACCACTTTTAGTAGATGTACTATATTATTGCATGGGAAAGGTAAAATACTAAAAAAAATAATTGGGCTTTGAACGTTAGGATTACGGTCCATCTCAAGGAAATTTTTGTTATAAAATTTTTATTCGTCTATTTGCAATTACATGATCTGTCAAACTTGATAGATTATTAATAAAATTGATTAAATTTTATTAAAAACCATTTTAATATATTCCTAACCCTAACCCATGTTTCCCAAACTTTTAATTACCCTAACTCACGTCTCTCTAATCTTTAATCCCACTCCTAACTTCAGATACTTATTTAATTTTAAATATATCTCATCCAAATTAAAAAATTTCCTTCAGTTAAACATTCTTTTATATGAGTTATTAACGAACGTAAGGGAATATTATCTGAATTATATTACTTCGTTTATTGAATAAGGTGACGCTGTTTCCTCTGTAATTTGGGATATTTCGACTATATTTTTGATAAGGCTTTCCTGGAACATTATAATCTCTTCGACAGTTTTAATCAAATTTAATATATCCTCGTTGTTTAAAAAGTGATTTCTAATGGGAGCTATATAGTTTTCTTTTATAAAATTGATGTTAGTTATATAAGCCTTTTCGCTTTTCACAAAATCGGATAGCAAGAATAAAAAATTTTGTAATGGTATATTCGTATCAATATTTGACGATGATGTTTTTATATTAAGTTTAGTATTTTCCATTTTATGTTCGCAATTTTCCTTTTTGGTAACATACTGCGTTTGTTGTTTACTGATAATGTCATTACCTTTCGATTATGCATTAATATTATATATAAAAATATAAAATCAACGACCATAATTCAATTGGTTAATGAAAATAACTGACCCGGTTTATATCGTAACATAAGTAGGTAGGACCATTTGTCAAAAAAAGTTACCAGCTGGATAAAAACTGGCTTTAAAAATTTAATCGGATCGATTAGTTTTGAACGGTCAGCGGTATAATCTAAACCGGATCCTTCATCTTAATGCAATTGATATGTGTAAAGATAAACTTGAGGATGATGTTATGGCTTCCCATATTTTTACTTGGTTAGTGACTCTATTGCTTGCAATGTCTTTCGTTCTTTCTTCTTCTCCTTCCACATCTTTGTCGTAGAAAACGGAATGTGAATTTAATTTTTGTAAGGAAGACCTTTTGTTTAATCTTTGAGCCGATTTTTCGTTTATTTTTTCTTTCAAATCCTTTAAAAAATTCTTTTCTCCGTCCCTTTTGGGCGGTTCAATTTGGCAAGACCTTATTAGCAGCAAAACCTTTGAGCTTTGTTGCAAAAAATTTTCGACAAACATCATATCGAGATCGGCCACGCTTTTCTTATTGATAGACAAAATTTCATCACCATTTGATAAACCTAAATAAAATGGCAAAGATCTGCATATTATTATTTGAATATATTCTATTATTATATTCTTATAATTTAGGTGTGTTCAAAAACATATTAATATTACATTTAAGAGGTAGATAAGAGCACTTTTGCCCCTTATCATTAACGTCCCTGTTATAAATAAAATAACGTAAAAACATATGGTATAGCACAGGGTTGGCAGTATCAAAAATACTTGTATCTTAAATACAAAATACTTTTGTATCTGGTATCTTTTGGGGCATTTTAAAAAGTATCATGTATATTATATTAAATACTTTTTAAAAAATGAGTTTTTGTATCTTTAACTATTTAATATGGAAAATATACAGATTCTTTCAATTTTTCCTTATTTTTTGTTATATTTAAAAGTATATATAATTTAAAGGGTCAAATATTATTAAAACATTTTTTAAAAATTTCTTACCAATTATTAACATCTAATTATATCTTCCTCAAATAATAATTTGCTTAATTTTTTTAAGGAAATACATTATTAATATTAATAATAATGATTTATAAATATATAGTATAAAATTGATAATTTAGATATAAAAGGAGCACTCCGTCTGGCCTCTTCATCAGACACACTAGCCCCCATTAATTTTCAAACTTATACCCGATTGGCTATGAAGCACCCCACACATCAGGCATCTTCAACTGAATTTCCTGGTTTAAATCCCACATCTTATCCAATAGAATTTACCACTGAGGAAGTGAGAAAAGCAATCTCAACCTTCCAAAAAGATTCTGCACATGGTTTTGAAGGCATGAGACAGATATATCTTCAAGACCTAACAATCCCTCTTCTAAATTCTCAAACTACCCTACTCAACAGTATAACTCTCCTTTGTAACAGGTTCTTACATGGTGACGTTCCTATCTTCGCCCAGCCAATTATGTTTGGAGCAAAACTAATAGCTCTTACAAAACCAAACAAAGACTTGCGCCCAATTGCCATAGGCACCCTTTTTAGAAGACTAGTATCAAAATTGATCTCGGCTCGAATCAATGAGAAAGTCTCTACAGTTATCACATCAACTCAACTAGGGGTTGGTGTCAAAGGCGGCTGCGAGTCTGCCGCTCATATAACCCGAATATATCTACAAAATAATCCTCAAAATAAACACCTGATTAAAATCGATTTTTACAATGCATACAACACAATAAAGCGATCCGTCTTCCTAAAATCCTTTATCAATAGCTTCCCATGCTACTCCAGCTACATTTTAAGCTGCTATGCGAATCCCTCCATCTTACAATATGGTGAATATAGGCTTTCTTCTTCAGAAGGAATTCAACAGGGTGATCCCCTAGGGTCGATATTATTCTGTCTAGGAATAGACAATCTAGTTAAAAAAATTAAAAGCAGTTGCCTGTTAGATCTTCATATCTGGTACATAGATGACGGGATTATAAGCGGAAGCCCAGATGAGATAGACAAAGCCCTAGAAATTTTGCAAAAGGATGGGCCAGACATAGGCCTTCTCTTAAACGTCGACAAAACAGAATTCTGTCAGCTCACCTCTCAATCTCCCAACTGTTACGCCTTTAAAGAGGTTATGGCCGAAGAACTAACACATCTTGGCTCACCAGTTGGGGGTTGCTTAGCAGTTGAAGCCTTTTTCCAGGCTACTTCGAATAATTTGAACAATATGGAGGGTCTACTTATGCAACTTCCCACGCATAAATCTTTCTTCTTAATTAAAAATTTCTTCAATATACCAAAGATCCTATATGCTCTACGGTCTACTGCTGTTTTTAAACATCCCAATCCCTTAAGAGCATATGAATCCATAATTAAAAACATCATGGAAAAAATAACTAACCTCAAATTTAACTCCAATTCGTGGCATCAAGCCACTCTCCCCTGCAATAAAGGAGGCTTAGGGTTACGATCACCCATAGCCTTATCAATTAGTGGTTTCATCTCGTCCAGATTGGCAAGCTCCAAAATAATAACTGATCACCTGACCTTGCCAGATGCACTGCTTGACGAAGCTTATGTCATTTGGAAAGCCTCAGTTGGAGATGAATGTCTACCACCAGCCTCCCATAAACAAAAGGATTGGGATAATCCGATGATTGCAAGGTCCGTTGATTACCTCTTTTCGACACTGCAATCTGAAGATCATGCCCTATTAGCTTCCCTCAACCAAGGTTCAGGACATGAATACTTGGATGCCATCCCCTCTAAAAATCTTGATCTCGAACTTTCAAATCAAGAATTCAGTTTTGCTGTAGCCATTCGATTAAATGCAACAACCTCAGTTTCATATAAGTGCGCCAAGTGCAAAAGGCCAGTTAGTCAAACTGGTCGTCATTGCCTCCAATGCATTTTTAGCAGTGGACGCTCGATCCGGCATAACAGGTGTAATGCTCTCATAAAACGAGCTTTACAGTCAGCAGGCTTTCCTGCCACTTTAGAACCCTCAGGTCTCTTTACGGATGGGAGACGACCCGATGGAATTACACAAATTCCCTGGGAGAATGGCCGATTTCTAGCCTGGGATTTCTCCTGCGTTGACCCCCTCTCACCCTCCAACATCAATAAAGACATTTTAAAATACACCGAAGATTTTAAAACAAATAAATATGTGGATATTCCAGATGAGTATAAATTCGTACCAGTTGTCACGACAACCTTAACATCTCTTGGAAGTCAGGCTCTTAGTCTAATTAAAAAGATTGGCAGAACCTTAAGAACAAAATCAGGAGACTCAAAAGAAGGCGTCTACTTACGTCAACGCATAGGAATTCAGATTATAAAATCTAATTTCACATGCTTCATAGGTTCATTCCCCGAGGAGCCCGATTAATCTAGATTTTCTTCTTCTTCCCTTTTTTTTAAAAAATTACCCCCCCCCCCCTTCCTCCTCGTATTATCATTTGCACTAATTATATTCCCATTATTATACCTTGTATTATGAAGTCGTTGGTTGTTAAATTTCTTAAAATTTCTAGAATTGTTAAATTATATATTTTTCTTAAATTTTGTTTTTTTAAAAATAATTTTAGAAATAAAGCTATATACATTTTGAAAAAAAAAAAATCTGTATAAAATTTATACATTTTAAAATTTATTTTATTGTATAAATAATAAATAAAATCTATAATGAAAAAAAAAAAATATATCTCAATAAATGTTCATAACTTTCTTCTGCTTCAGAAGCGTAGCCAGGAATTTTATACGGGGGGGGGGGGGGGTTAATTTATATTGAAATAATTTTTTTATTAAAAATTTATTAGAACTAATCATCATATAAAATTTATTAGAAATAATCATCATATAAAATTTATTAAAACTAATCATCATATAAAATTTATTAGAACAAATCAATTTGAAAATACGATAATTCGAACACAAATAATAAAATATTGGAAAATACAAAATATTAAGAGCGAATATAACTCAGTTAATAAATATTATAGCTATATAAACCGGTATGTAAATCACAATAAAATATAAAATTAAACATTTTAAATGATCAAAATATTTCTCATAAATAAAAATTTAATCTTCTTTGCGATTGCGCCAATTGTTTGATAATTCGTGTTGTGTTGGGGATTAGATCTCGAAGTAAAGCTAGTCTATTTAATCTAAGATGTCATACTTTTGATATAGGTTTTTATTTTCTGTAATGAAGAAAAGGTCCCCTCATTTGTGTTTATACTAATTGGTATCAACACGTTAATCTCCAAATCATATGATTTCGCTTTCACCTCAACAATCAGATAAATCTCGAGAAATTCCTGGTCGATATTATCTCTTGGTATTCCAAGTTATAATATAATGATATTCAGGATTCTCATAACTTCAGCCAAATCTATTTTGAAAAATATTGCATAAAATTGTTATTGTGTTATAAATAATTTATTAATACATTCTAAATCGGCAGTCATACTAAATCTAATAATGTATCAGTTTTAGATGAAATATGTGTTTCAGGTTATTCTGATATTTCTCCAAGGGCATACAAAATATCTAGATCCAAATGATGTAACAGCTTGATGTCGAAGGCTCCATCTTTTCGTGCAGGCTTATTGCAGTTTCTTTTTCTCCCTGCAGCTCAAGAAGTCTAAGAAATAATTATATTCAGCTTCTGTCTATTTAGATATCTCATTTATACACTCTACAAATTTTCTAATCATAGTTATTAGTAGGAATATATTAAATAGAATTTTTGGTTGATAAAATTATCTTATATCCATTAGTGTTTAAGGTTTAAAAATGCAAGAAAATAAAATTTAAATTTTCATGAGATAAAATAAATATTATTTAAATTAATTTTAACTTTTATTAAAGAATCTATTTGATTTATAGAATACTCTGCAATTCACAATTCATAAAGCTCTTTTATATTTCTTCAAAAATTCTTGCAATGGGGTAGGAATTTTCTCCCTTCCTTCCCGCTGCTACTCGCCTAAGCCCTTAATATTAAATTTTGCTACGGGGGACTACGCGTTATAGAATATGAATAAGTATAATATATTTATTGTTAACAATGTTACTGTTAAAATAATGTATTGAGATAAAATTAATATTATTATTATAAAAATTTATATAATATTAATAATTTAGGTAAACGAAAATGTGCGAATTCTTTATCTAAATAGTATTATTGGCTTTGCTTTGGCGGCCACTGATGCTCGCAACTTCTGCGCATCTTTACTCTCGTTTCTGTTTTTGTCATTAATTTTTGCTGTTTTTTTATCTCCTGATCCAAGTTTCTTTTTAGCTCTAACGTAATTGGGAAGAAAATATCCTAAGCTTATTCCAAGAACAGGATGTACAATCAGGAGATTTTAATCATTGTAAATATAAAACTGAGATGATTGCACTTTATTATGTTTAGGGCCAATCGTTATCCTCGGTCCTGACAAAGATTCGGTGTTCCAACTCTTTAAATAAGGTCTGGGCATGTGAGTCGAACGATGTTAAAGTCTTGGCGATTAATGGTTAGAATGTATAATTAGTGGGTAGTGAC